ATATGCGGCAGGGAATCTTGACGACGTTATCCCAAAGCAATGGGGGCTATGAATATGACTATGCTACTGTTCCTTTTCTTGCTGAAGTGTTTAAGGTAATACTTGAATCCAGGGGTTTCAAACATTTCGAAGCCAAAGTGGTTTCAAGGATGTTCTTTGAAGTTTCTTATGGTTTAATAAACTTCTTTGTTTAATAGGTTCTGTTTAAATGCAGCTTCTCATTTCTAGTATCCTTCTGTCTAGAGAAATGAAAAGCTCAACTCCTCCAAAAATGACAACGGATTGGAAGAGCATCCGTCTATACCCAATACCATCCATCATTTACCTTATTCACAATAACGTTCAGTTCGCAACTTTGACATATGTGGATACATCAACATATCAGATAATGGGCAACTTGAAGATTGTTACCACTGGAATATTGTTCAGGTAATCTATTTATAGTTTATGATGTTCAGTACCAAAACTTTGTTTCTTTTGTCCTGTCTCATTCCATTATGCATACTGTTCTTTCTTCATAAAATAGGAGTTATTTGTACTTTTTAGGCTTTTTTTGAAGAGGAAGCTTTCTACTTTGCAGTGGATGGCAATTTTATTATTGGCTGTTGGGACAACCACAAGCCAGGTGCTGCTGCTAATATGTTCATGCGTTTATTTCCTTTGAAGTTGTTTTGTGAGCAACCATCAATACTTTCATGAAACTTAAACATTAATTGAATAACTATTAATCATATTACATTAGGTGGGGGTGTCAAGCTAGGAATGAATTACTGAAGTGTTTGGTTTATAACTATCACTCATATTACATTGTGCCTGTGAGGCTGTAATGTGATCACAAGAAACTTTTCAATGCAACCTTGTGATAACTGATAAGGAGTTAAGGATGAGCGTTAATCTATGCTGCTGAATACAATAAGATAGAATCATAGAATATATATTTTTCTATTACAGTTGTATTTAGAAAATTTTGAAATTGAAAGTCATTAAAGGCTCAATCTGTCTGACAATAGGGTGTTCCTGTTGCATAGGTAAAAGGATGTGGAGAGGCTTCTTGTGACTCACCATTTTCATCACCCATCCAGGGATATATGTTTGGGATTCTGTCTGCTTGTCTTTCAGCCTTAGGTGGTGTTTACACTGAGTTCTTGATGAAAAAGAACAATGACAGCTTGTACTGGCAGAATATTCAATTGTATTCGTAAGTTCTTTCCATGAGCATATTTTCCATCCCCAATTAAAATATGTATAGTAAAAAGTAGTGTTCTGTAATAATCAATAGGAGCCTTTTCGCTAAACCGTCTTGAATTTTTGTACTTTCTATACAAATGTTCAACCTCAGTGATTTTATTCCGGGAACTAAAAAAGTAATTGTTCTGCACGGAATGTTCCAAATATATTACGGGTTCGTCATTGTTGTTTAGATTTGGCTCGATATTCAACATGGGACGACTTCTCATTGACGATTTCCAAAGTGGGTTTGAAAGAGGTGCATGGTGGCAACGCCTTTTACATGGATACAGTATTACAACATGGTTGGTGGTTTTGAATCTTGGAACAACTGGACTTTTGGTATCATGGTTAATGAAGTATGCTGACAATATTGTGAAGGTATAGTCTTTTTTTTCACCTGCCTTTCCTTCTTTAGATTGCTTATGCTTTCTAATGGGATTGGCTCATTCTAAAGGGTGGAGGACTTCTGTATTCAGATTAAGTACACTTTTTAACCACTTGGCACCAAGTTCACCATTCATTGAAGTGCATTTACTTCATTTATGTTAGTTACACTTGTTATTTTGTAATTAGTGAAACGAGCAACCTAGGTACAATCCAGGCTCAGGTGGCTTCTTAAAACATACTCAGATACTCTATATAACTTTACTCTGTCATATGGTTGTTATCAAGATGAACTTAGATGTATTATTAAAAGTTAAATAAGGTTGAACTTTAAAGTCATCGTTGACATTAGGATACATGCCTGATTAAACTGAACAAATGTTAGTGTATGATGATTATTGGCTGTATGACTTGTATTCCATCTCCATCTGTCCCCTTTTTATTTAGCTCATTTGACTTCACACGTAGTTTAAGACTATGAAATTGTGCTGTTGAGATTTATTTAGAAAGGAAAGAAATCAAAGAATCAATATCAACCTTACCGCTCTTTCCTAAGAAGAAAATGGGAAGATGATTAAAAGGAAACTGGACAGCCCAATAAGAGTAGAGACTGGAGAGTAAATAGAAAGGGTGCAGAGGGTGAGAGGGAGTATTGATTTTTCTACCAAATATAAACTTGAATCAAATTTGCGCATTTTTTCTTTTTGTAGGTATACTCCACATCTATGGCAATGCTTTTAACAATGTTATTATCAGTGGTCCTATTCAATTTCAAGCCAACTGTTCAAGTAAGTTACATTGCTTTTCTCTTCCCCTATCATTACATTTGCATATAGGCTATAGGTCTGGGCGTGAGGATAATGTGTTTTGATATCTTGTTCATATCAGTTAAAATTATCCCAATGACTGCCATAGTTCCCTGTAATATTTGTCAAAGATTTCATGCAGAGATGCTACATTTCAACTACTCGGCATTAAAATCTTTAATGTATGATAATTCATGTTGAAACCATTATTTTGTCATATTGCTTTAGAAAAGAAATCTATCGTTAATTATACTACTTTTTAATATGCATATTTTTATAATTCTCCGGTCACAATGTGCAGCTGTTTTTGGGCATTGTTATCTGCATGATGTCACTACATATGTACTTTGCTCCCCCAAACACGCTGGTGGATTTGCCTTTGACAACAAAAGCTGCCCCTGAGAACATAGCTGAAGTTTCTGTTGACCAAAGAACAGTTTCGTGATGTGTTGTATATGCAGCATTGAGGCAGCTGTACGCATGGGTGTGTTTCATCTCCAATCTCATTCTAACTTATGAAAGTGATGATATGGATGCTTCTCCAGTCAATCAAACTGACGTTAAAACCATATGGAATCAAAAGGGTTTGGATTCCATGAGCAGACAGGGTGGATTAACTCTGTGTTGGTTCAACAAAATCTTGGAGGAGCAAACTTGTTACAATATTATGCATTTATTGCATGGTGTCCAGTTGCTGCTCATTAGATTGAACAATGGATAACTGCCAGATTACTTTGTTTCAATCTGCAGCTAGTAATGGTTGTTGTAGATGATGATCTATTTAAGGTTCTATTTTTCATGTTCTGTTGATTAAATCATCTTATCTTGAAAACAGGCGTTATTCACACAAATTAACTTCTTCTGGGTTTGGGTTGTAGTGTTGTACTAAGGGTTTGTTCTTTTTCTGTTTTACTTATTATTATCATCCAATTTAGCTCTCTTTAAAGAACCAATTTAATGCAAAATAAAATGTGTGATTAAAACAAAACTCATAATAGTGATAAATAAAAAAAAATATGACCACTGCTAAATTGCTAATAAATGATCTTCAAAGATTTTGAAAACTAAACATCAATCATGTGTCCAAACCACATCATTAAAAAATAGTAGACTGTAAAATAGTAGACTGTAATTCAGTAATACCAATACTAGCAAGAACTTGTGCTCAGTATTTAACTACTAATCAGTGTAATCACACAATTTGACCCAATCTTTTTCAAAGAGCAGTAAATATTTCAGCTAAAATTGATCATCTAATTTAGGATAAGTTTGGCACAACTAGAAAATTATTGTGAATAATTATTGCTGAAAGTTGCAATCTTTCTTTCATAAATTACTGAATGTAGTTTCTCAAAAAGATATTTTATTTTTATAAAAATTCTTAAAAATTTTAGTGACAAATAGACAACTAGAAATTTTTAGTCATTTTAAATGGTACAAAAGGTAGAAAGTAGAAACTTATTCTCAATATATAGATAAAGGATTGTGTACCGAAGATATGACTTGAAATACTTTTAAATTAGCGTGTGGAAAATACTTAATAATTTTGAAAATAATTAGTGTCACTTCATTATTTAAATTTTAATCATCCAAATTAAATTCTATGATTCCTAATTAAATTCTCATTTTTAATTCATGAATTTTAGGCAAAGAAAACTACTCTCCTAATATGGATTTCATTAAAATCACAATAAAAAAAGTACTTGATGATGTTCTATTCATACAAATAAGAATTTATTACTCAAAATTTACAAAATAGGTAGATTGAACTTAAATTATAGACACATAAAGTAAGAACTTCATTAATATACTGAGGGATTCTGTATTTTATAAAATTGATGGGACTCTAAAAAAGAAATGACACCTCATTCCTAAGGTCCCTCAATAAAGGGGCACTGAAAAGATGTAAATTGTCTTTGCTTAGACTTGAACCTAAAATTTTTCCCTTATGACACCCCTTCCCGCCCCCTTCCCGCCACGTGAGTTATACCCCAAATTGACAGAACCCTATAACTTCTATGAGATGGGGAATTGGTTGAAGCTCATAGCCTCATAGGTTCTCCGATTATGACTAGAAATTTTTCTCGTACACACTTTAGTATTATACACTTTTACACGTTTGTGAAGATTTTTCTGTGATTAACATATTTTGTCTGTGAACAGACTATTCACAGATAGGCATGGACGCGGCCCGGGTTGGGCCGAGCCCCGGGCCGGGATTGGGCGGGACTGGGGATTTGGGATGAAGGCCCGGGTTTGAACTGAAACCAGGCCGGGTCAGGTCAATTTTTTTATTTTTTAAATTAGTATTTTCGAATTTATTCCTACCCCACCCCAAACCCCGCCACACCCAGCCCAACCCACCTAACAGCAGCCCAATCGTGGTCCACTAAAACCAGGGCCTGTAGCATGCCCCCATAAACAACCCGGTTCGGGCCCCCAGTACCGCCCGGTCAGGCCGAGTAGAGCCTGCACAATACTGGGCTGGCCGACCACTCCCAGCCCATCCCTATTCACAGATACACAAATGTGTAAAAATGTGTACAAAATCAAAGTGTTTACCAATTACCAATTTACCATTCAAAACTGAATTTAGCGCCTGTTCAGTGCTTTTCCCTGTTAGGTTCTGAAACAGAACCGAATTCACTCATATTTAAAAGTGTTACAGTTACACCGAACGAAAATTACTTATTCTTATTTCATTCTATCATTCTATGACACGAATATTTAAACAACTCGTAGATTAGCGTCTCAAATTAGCAAGTGAAAGACATTGGTGATTGGTGTTAATTGCTCATCGTGCACAAGAGAGGGGTTAGTCAACGCATGATAGGATTGCTACGGTGCATAAAGCTAAGGGTTACGTTACTTATATGCATATTGTTAATAGATGTGACCTTTGCAACGGTGACTTGGAGACAACACCACACCTCTTTTTTCTTTGTCCATTTACGTGTAGGATATGGAGATGACCATCCTGCATAGCTCGGTCAAATGGATACTCAAGAAGTACAAAGGCTCAACCTTGAAGGCGAAAGCTGTCCGACTTGCTTTCTGCGCCGCGGCATATCACATATGGCAAGCAAGGAACGCTTGTAGATTTGACGACTGCATGAAGACAGAAGATGAGGTTATTACAAAGATTAAACATGTGGTGTATAAGATACTGTTTTCTTTGTACCCACATGACTTGGTCACATTTTGAAGATTGTCCGTCTACCACAAATGGGGAGGCCGCGGCTTTTACCCTTGGAGTATTGTGATTGCACCGGGCAACTCACTTGAATTTTTGCTCTTGCCGCTTAGGGCTATTTATAACCTCATTTTGGGCTTGATTTTGACTTGAACATTTATGATCTGTGTGCGTGCATTGTTGGCAGCACCGATTTATTTTTGGTTCTGGGGCAGTTAGTATTGTATACTTAGGCCCTTGTGAAATTTTTTTTTTGAAAAGATCAAATAAAAACCTCTTTTAACCCCTACACTAGGTAGGGGTGGGGGGGTTTTAGGAGATCTTGAACCCTTGATGTATAGTTTTTCTTTGAGTGTTAATACAAATTTACATTTCATCCAAAAAAAAGGGTTATGTTACTTATGTTTCATTCTTTCAATAGTAGTTGCTCCATTTCCCATTTAACAATAATACCAAAATGTCATAATATGGAAGGAAATAAGCATAAGATCACGGAGAGAAAGTATAGTATGAACACTTAGTGATAGAGATTTTATTAATGGTGTGATAGAGTGATTATGGTGTAATCATGGCGTGTTTACAATGAAGCAAAGAGCCTCTATTTATAGGCTAAACAAGTGATTAGCTCAACATGAGGGATTAATATTAGCCACATAATCATTATCTAGAAATCATGATCGTGATTTCTGAATTATCTTGATAATGATTAATGATGACTTATTAATCATGAATAGTTAGGAGATGACTAATTCATTATATTTCAACATGGTTTTTCCCTCATTATAGTTCATACTATTACTTATTTTTATTTTTCTTTCCCCAATTTTTCATTCTGGAAAAACCCCAATGGAGCATGTAAAAACAAACGGAGGGATTATAGTCATTATACTGTCAGTCTAATAAATAACTTTTAACAAAACTTTCCTTATTTCATCCACTTGCCTGAATGCCAAGTACAAATGAATGAACATTTTCTTCTTAACTTACTGAACTAACTAAAGAACATAAACAAATGGCAGGGTAGAACGAGGGCAAAAACCCCACCAAACAGGAGGTGCTTAGATCAGCCAAATTTACATATATATTCCTCTCTTCTGTGGGACGACTTCAGTAGTTTCTATACCTGTTATGCAATGTGTACTTCACAACCTCGTAGAAGGAAACAACTATTCCGACTGATGGCCCAGCTCGCGCAACTCTTGGCCCAACTCCTGTGAACAATCCTCTCATGCCCCCATCCCTAGTGTTCACACACACAACTATACTTAGTTACTCATTACAAATGTATCTTAGCATTACCACTAAAGTAAACATATATGAGCACCCACGGGAATATATATGTAAAAAAGAATAGCCACGAGTTATACCTCCAGATTTCAATTAATGTTCTTCTAGTTGTCATCTCCAGCACTCTCTTAGGATCATTCTGAAAAATTCAAATCGAAAGGTAATTTGGTGAGTGGATGCCCCGCAAAAAAAAAAAAAAGACATTTGGAGACTATAGTTGCGGGACGATGAAAATCAGATTATTCAGATATCATGGCTATGGAAATGTGGATGCTCTCATACTGATAACGACATTTTTTCCTTTTCAAAAAATTACAAATTTTTCACTTTGTCCGTCCCTGGAGATGATTTTAGAAAGAAACCACCACCCATTAAGGTACACACCTCTATTTGCCTACGGGTCCTTGCCACATCTAAAGGACATGTAGCAGCAGCAGCAAGGCTCCCTGCAATGAAACCGGCACTGAAGTTTGCGCCCATTATACTGCCTCCACTCCTTTCTTCATTCATCACACCCAGCACTTTTCTCCTAGTCTGCATATGATTTAGGTCTTTAGGATCAAGATGAAGAGAAAATACGCATGAAACCTGAAGAATACTTACTGGCTTTTAATACTTACTGGCTCAAGAGTTGACCAGCAGATTGCAGAGAAAGGGACATCCCGAGCAAGTTGTGCCCCTAGTCCTGTCCACAATGGCCGGTACACTTGAATTGCTAGTCGCGAAAGGGAAGGAAAAGAATTGAGATATAAAATGTTAGAAATAGCTTAATGTCTAAATTTCAACATGTTTAGATGAGTGGTGCATTAAAAAGTGACCACCTGCACTTCTCACTGCTATTAATTTTGTAGTTGGAAGAAGAGTTGTGGTGTTATCTAAGGTGTTTGGCACTCAGCAGTCAGTAGTTTTTTATAAATATTTCTTGATCCTTTTATATCAGGTATCATTCTTTATACCTGATTTAATTTATGAATGCATACTCTCATATTTTAAGAATGCATACTCTCATATTTTACAATATGATAAATCTATCTTATGGATACAACGAAATATGCTGTCCGTCCCCCCTTTCAAATAACTTGATTTCCTTATTGGATCATCCCCGTATAATCTTCTCATTTTCAACCAAGGAAAGAATTGTGTGGTTGATATTGATCCTTTGCTTTCAAAATAAATATCAACCACACAATTCCAATTTACAAAAAAAAGTAAATTTGGAAAAATTAATTAGGGGTGGATGGATTGCAATTTAAGAAAAAAAACCAGTACTTAAAATTAGCACGTACTATGCACTTCAATACTTCATACAGACTACCGTGAAGGTTTACAATCCAACTTACAGTGTTGATGCCCATTCGCACTTCGGACAGAAGAAATGATCCCAAACAATGTCTTCCACACTCCTGGGGGCTTCACAGTATTTGGGGTATCCCTGAAAGCCTATAATAAAAAGCTTAGGAAACTTTCCATATAGGCATGTCAAAGCCATTTTTTTCAAATATACAATAGTCAATACACAAGAGAAAGCAAAAGGGAGAGAAAAGGTGCTTACTTGCATCCGCGTTTTTGCAAGCTCAACTGGGTAGCAAGTGATACATGCTATTGACCTTGCCAATGAACCCGCAACTAAGGGTATATATGGAGAAACTATTGGGGCACTGTGCAAAGCATACTCTTCAAGAGAATTTCGGAAAATGTCATATAAAGGCAAATAGATCCCCACCTACATAAAATTGATTGAGTTGACAACACTTATTCAACACGATGCAAAACTAATAGTACGTGGAAATACCTTTATGGCTCAATAAATACCAAAAACAATCCTATGTGAAGAAGAACGTACAGAAGGGACTGCCAACGCCAAACTTGCAATCGTGCCTCTCCACAATCTAGTAAATCCTTCCTGCAAAGCCGTCTCTCATCAGCCGTACTCTAAGTCTCTAACATCTTCAAATGGATCAATTACACTGGAAGATATTAATATTGTACAGTTGTATCACTAATGTCATGGAAGTGTGGAACACAATAAGATGTACTTGTACAAATTGTTCTCCAAAACAGTTTTTTTTTGCGGATTCCAAAACAGATAAATTAAATGACTTTGCGTCTTAAAATGAGGAAAATATCATTTCCATATGAAAATCACTAACTTGGCGTATCACTTTGGAGAGGACATCCACAGTCCCTTTGTACCGAGCAGAATCTGAAGAGCATGCAGGCTCAGTGCCAAAAATTGCATTTGTGCTGCAGTTGCATTTCATATCCCATTTCTACACATACAAAAAAAAGTCCCTACTTTGAACAAAATAATAAATATTAACAAAAAGAAAAAGAAGTTTTAATTGAAGCCAAGTGCATTAGAGACGCTGCCAACTTACAGTATGTGCTCCATGAGACTCCATCCTACCAATACCCTCATAAGGGACACCAGCAGCCTGAGCTTGCAACCTTGTCTGAAAACGTAGGAGTAAAAATGCAAATGATTCACAATGGCTTCTACAATTCAGCATGGATTAAGAACTACAACATAGACAAGTTCTAAAATCTCAAAGATAAAATCAGCTTACAGATTAAAACATTTTAAAAGCAATACAATGAGAGAAATTGATCGGTTGGATCGAAAAAGAATTCTTCATCATCATCATTACCCCATTGGCGCAAAGGCTCCCACCGTAGGTGGGGTAGGGGGTCGGATGTACGCAGCCTTACCCCTGTACTAAAGCACATAGAGGCTGTTTCCGGATGACCTCATAGTGAAAATCGTGTCGAAAAATTTATAACAAAGAAGTGCAGACAGTTGAGTCATTTTGCTTTATTCCATCATATTCAAAGCCAAAAAATAGTGAGTTTTTAGCTCCATTGCAAATGATGGAAAATTGGAAAAAAGAAGAAGTTATCACTAAAAACTATGACCAACTGTTCCTTAGTTAATTTGGCAAGCCATAACAGAACTAAGGATCATGAAGAACCTTTTGAACTAGCATCACAAAAATAGCATAAATACATACACTCATACACACACATGTTATACTGACATACACGGGCATGAAAATCTTGCAAACGAATAAAAGTGCCTTACCTTGGCGACATCAAGAGGGTTAACGAGGATTGCGGAGAGAACGGCAGCTCCGGCAGCGGAAATTGCTCTCTCTGTGAAACCTAAATTCACTTCCGCAACGGACTTGGCGTTGTGAGACTGCCGAGCTTCATCATTCGGCGTCGCTACAGAAGCAGGGGGGGAGCTCCTGTCCATGTCGATCGCATTTCTGGTAGCTGCAGATGCTCCAAATGAAGGCAGGCCTTGCTTCGTAGCTGATGATCCTACCACCATCAGAATTCAGAACCAAAACCTTTTGTAGGGCTTTCTGTAAGAAGTTGGAGAACGACGGTCTGTTTGTTATTCGTGACTGTCAAAGGAAGCAGAGAACGCGAAGAATTGGGACGCGAGAGCATCTCTAATTTTACAAGTCACGACATCACATTAAAAAAAGAGTTGGACGTTCTAATCTTTTAGACTCCAATAATACGATTAATTCTGATAGGATTAAATAACTTTTCATATCTTAAAAAGAAATTCGTTTGATCATACTGTAACTTTCTATGAAAATAAAAGAAAGGGAAACTGTCAAATAGGTTCTCGAACTTTCATAAAAAGGTCAATTAAGTCCTTCTATAGAAAGTTCTGTCCGGACGTCGCGATTTGGGACAGTTCCCGGTGGAGTTTTTTGATGAAATTTTTTGAGCATCTTATTCACCAAGTCTAGTTTACTCATACCAAATTTCAGCTAAAAATTCAATCAGGAACACATTCAAATTAATTCTTGAAGATAACTGCGCATTTTTGCGTTCTTGAATTAATTTGAATGCGCTCCCGATTAAATTTTTAGCTGAAATTTGGTATGAGTAAACTAGGCTTGATGAATAAGATGCTCAAAAAATTCCACCGGGAACCGCCCCAAATCGTGAAGGCCGGACAAAGTCTCCTATAGAAGGACTTAATTGACTTTTTTATGAAAGTGTGAGGACCTATTTGGCAGTTTAAGAATGACTTTTAATCAAGAAAACTAATAAAACAATTTTAATCAAGAACAACATATTCAAACGTAAGTCCAAAAATAGACATAAAATCAATCATCTCATACAAATCAATGTGATTCGTTATACACAAAACACACCATTTTAAACCTAAAACATTTGGAACCGAAACATTGTCTATCAAAAATACTTTAAAAATTCAAATATCAAAATCAAGCTTAGTCGGACTCACTTTCTAAAAATCGCTTTAGGTGTCCGACTAGTCCACGTCTAGACGCTAGGCGGTGGCCGGTCGCCCTGACTAATTGGTTTGGCACCTTGGTGAATTAATCGGTTGCCTAAGGCGCCTAGTTGTCCGCCTAGAGCGCCTAATCGCCACCTAGGGCGTCTTGATTCGCCGAACAATTTTTGCTTTTTAATTTTCTTTTTATTAGAGATATATGTACCTTTAACTTTAATCATGAATATAAAGAAGGTACTTGTAAATTAAGATAAAAACTATATATATTTGTATAAATACTTAAATTTTATTATTATTTAATATTTATAACATAATGCAGTTAAGTGATTAGTTACCATATATTATTAAACGTGACAATTCTATCATTCATGCATGTTAATGTGTGCGCGCATATTTTTCATGCACACACAAACACAATACTATAGTTTGATTAGTTTCACTACGTATTACTTATCATATTCATGCAAACATATTGATAAAAATACAATTTATGTGGCTCCGACTAGTCCCTGCCTAGACGCCTGCCTAGCCGTCTAGCCGCCCGCCTAGCCGCCTAGGCGCTAGGCTGACACCCGACTAGCGTCTAGCGCCTTTTAGAACATTGGTCGGACTAAAATTAAAATAAACAATACTTCCTACATCCCTCTATTATGGTCCCGTTGCAATTTACGATGCTTTATCGACGATAAAGCAAATGAATCCTCGTCCGCACTCAAATTATTTTTAGGGAAAAAATACATATTCAGAAAATACTTTAAAAGTTTTACAAAGTCACAAAAACCAGAATCAAATTGATACAAATTTATATATAAAGTAAGAAATTAAGAGTGATGTGTGTTGACCAAGTGAACAGAAACTGGGACAATAATAGTGGGACGGAGAGAGTATTAAAGAAGAAATAATTTTGTAATAAAGAATTTTCACACAACGCTTCCTGACGCGGAAGTGGTTCCGAATGAGTACGAGTTGTTTCAATATGCGTGAACATTAAATTCATCTTTTTACTTCGTTCTGAAAAGATGTAGAAACAAGTGGAGACACAAACATTGTTTATACATCTTCCATTCTCTACGATATCCAAAAGAAAGCAGACAAAAACTCTTGACCAGGCGAAATTGACCAGGACACCAAAGTAACTCCCTACATCGAGGGAAACAAAACACGCCGGAGCACCAGGGCCCGGAAAGAACAACCATAAAACAGAACAAGCACAATAACCAAAGAAGAACTATCAAGTTGGATCAGTCCTCCAAAAGATCTATGTGAGTGATGTTACTTTCAATTTAGCCGGAGAGAGAACGACTATAAGCTAAGACAACCATCTTCTTCCCAATTCCACGCTCATCCTTATCGCACTAATAATATAGATCTGTGGTGTGCTGGTAAGGATGTGTACAGGTAGATTGTGAGCATTGCACCAATTTCTTCTCAATTTGTTTCTGTTTTCATTCTATTTCGAGTAATTTCTATAATAAAAATTACCTCATCATCAATTCTACATCTTCTTAATATTCACGTCTCTAATGCAATAATGCTTGTATATAAGTAAACAATGCAGAGTTTTAACACATTGTTTTACTTGATTATTATGTTAAATATGAAGGCATTTTTAACAACATTTTGCATTGTATTATGTAAAATACTTCACGTATAACACTAGAGATGACAAAATATTTTGCACATTTTTTATAAAACATTACAACGAATTTGCATGTTATTTAAAAATAAATTAAATATCTCGTCACACAATATATTTTATTTACATGCAAAGTGATTGTTTTTCCAAACTTACATACAATCATTTCGTGTGCATAGTTTTAATGCATAAGCGAACAAACAATCCCTCATAGGAAAAAGTTAATGTCATTTTTTATTTTCTTATCAAAGTAATTTTTTCATTCTTACTTTAAATAGTTTTCATTATTTGATTCTTTTAATAGATTAAATTAAATAAATATTAATTTAAAAATAAAATATATTGATATACTATCGTATAGAGATCGATGTGGGAGAACTAAAGAGAGAAGTGATTTGTATAAATGATTTATTCAACGCCTTTACGTGGCTCTCAAAGAGGGCCTGTATAGGGGGATGTGGGCTATGCTTCCAGACCTGAGGCTTGCAAAGTTGCAGGCCCAATTACAATAAAAGGCTAATAAATGATATAAAATACGAAGTATATTTTAATGGGTATGTCATATGTGCAAATAAACAAAGTGTACAACAATAAAAATTCTATCTACTGAGCACATGTGGGCCGCTACCCAGACCCACCTAGTCATGAGATCGAGGGGTCCAAATCCTTATACTTTGCCAGAGAGTATAACACTCCCTGATGCGAAAGTACTCGAGGTGAAAGAGAGTAGAGCTATGTGCTCATTTTCTAGGTGCTGATTTGTCATCGTCAGGTGAAGTAAACTTCTGTGGATGCCGAGGCACCCCATCCCCAGGACGTTGATCCAATCTCATTGGTGAGCCATAATAGAGCAACCCTGCGGAAGAATCCTCAGTCAAAGGCTGTGGGCCATAAATTATCACAATTGGTCATGGGGCCAAGAGGCTTTGTGTATGTACTTATTGATTGCTGTGCCAACTGAATTTGCATATGATGTGATGGTGTGGTTGATGGATGCATGTGGCAATCTTTGTAAAAGAAATTGAGTTTGTGCTTCATCGACTAAGTTCCCCATTCTTCGAGACCCCACTCTTTGAAACTAGTGTAGTAAAGTGAAGAGGAGTAGAGTACCGCATGTCTCGTGATAACTACTTTAGGGGCCGAGGATCAACACCTTTTGTCACAGTGGGGGGATGCCTCGTTAAAAACATCACTAGAGAAAATCTTGTGGGAAAAAATTTCATTGAAGGAAAAAGAGTACACCCAAATGGCCCCCAAAATGAAGTAAAAGGAGTGAACCCTTCAGTGGTTGCGTGCAGCTGCAGCGCTCGCCATTTGCTGAGGAGATAGCCGGGAGTGGCCTTCGTGTTTGAGCAATGATCGTCTGATGCGCCTAGGAGGATGCAGTGAGCAACTCACTATGATATGTAGTCCTAGTCATCAAATAAGGATGACTAGGAGATAGGTAGAGCGACCGTCTATAATATGATGTCTGAGTCATCAAATAAAGATGGCCAAGAGATATGGCCAAGAGGCCTATGTAAACTCCAAGTCATCACATAAAGATGACTAGGAGTTATGGCCCACTCACAGTGGCTGATCCAGAAACACGTCTCTGGGGGTTAAAGTTTAATTATATACAGTATCAAAATGGTAAATCGTTATTTAACAATACTTGTTTTTGTATGTAGCTGAGATAAATGGCAGTTTCATAAGGCCATACAGTTATTGTATTGATATATATGTCATGTATTATAAACTTCACATAACTAATGAGTGAATAAGGTGTTTTATTTTTAAAGTTGAGCACATAACCAATATTTTCGCATGAAATTCCGCTCATTTCAAGTTTAATTAGGTAATGTTGATTTTTCGGAAGTTGAAACTTTTTATTCGTACTGAGTTACCGGAGTCCTAAAATATTAAATTGAGGGTATTTCATATTTCAACATTCTTAAACTTTCAGGGAGGGGTGGCCACCCTAACCCCTGGCTCCGTCCCTCACTGAGAGGCTTCCATAAACTCCGCTTCATCAAATAAAGATGAGTAGGAGGTGTATTATTGTGGGGCCAATGGAATTCTGGGTGTCTCGTCTGTTCAATCGGAGCCCGTAAGATATCCCCCATGATCAACAATTTGCGAAAGAAGTGGTCGATACTAGTCTTGTGATAAAGATAATGGTTGTCATCTGTGAAGACGGAATGCGAGCCCAATCATAAGGCCAGGAGAACAGTTTTGGGAGATCGTCGTAATATGAAGCCGAGGCGATGGGGGATTGTTGTAATATGAAGGTGAGGCGTCGGCGTCGTCAAATGATAGCATTGTCTCCTTATTACGACAGGCTCTTGTCTTGTCGTCTTGTCTCCATGTTCCGAATGTAACATTGGTCGATTTCGGTTTCATTCGGATCAGTTTCAATGGTTTGCCTGGCAGTTTCAGTTTTTTCGATTTGTATGTTCCTTATATATAAGCTAAAACTTTTTTGTTAATTACTAGGTATTAATTAATGCTCTTAAAATTTTTACCTGTTATTGCTATTGGTATGCTGCCCCAATTATGTATACATTATTCCAAATATAATTAAAAAAAGATACACAATTTATTAAGGATTTTTTAATAGCAGTTATACTCAATTACTCATATCTATTGTTATACCATATTAAATGCATTTTTAATTTTGTTAAAGTTGTACATTTTAGAACAATATACAGAGTACTCCGTATATTATTTCATATTCTTATTAGGTATTATCATTATTACGAATATGAATATACTTTTATTTACAGTTTTAGTCTGATATACAAAATATACATATTTTATTTTTTTTGTGAAGTGTAAGTGGGCTTATCATCCATTGACCGGGTTGACTCTTTGTGTCCATTGAATCATGACCTGGCTAGTTGTTTAGATCCAGTCCGACTTTGATAACATACTCCCTACAGTCCTAAATAAGTTTTCTACTTTGACACTCTATGGTGTTTAAGAAAGTGAAATTTTTGTTTTTGACTTTCCCGTTATACCCTTACAAAAAGTAGATTAGATGTAGTGAGAGAGAAGGTTAGTGTAAAGTGAGTAAATAAAGTAAAGATATAAGAGTAACTTAGTATTAAAAATTTGCCAAAAATTATAGTATGAGCTTTAATTTGGATCTGTCCAAAAAGAAAATTATGAACTTTATTTAGCATTGAATTTGATCTAGTTTATTGGTTTTACCAGACATGCAAAAAAAAAACAAGACATGCTAAAAAAACAAGACATGAAGGGTTTAAGTATATTCTTTTTTGTAAGATGACTGTTTTGTAACCCCATCACACATGAGTGTACACCAACACACATATACTAACTGCTAACATATAGTCCAACTCTGTCATTCTTGTTATCGCTACGTTCTTTAGTAGTCCGAACGGCTCGAGAGTCAAAACTATGAGTGGTTGAGCACTCCGGATTCAATAAGTAGCAATGGACTGAAACTGTTTGTTGGAACTAAAAACAGAAAACATGGATCACAAATGTACTCAATATAACATTCTAGTGTGGTGAGTGAGATGCACTTAAGTTAAAGTCAAGCTTCAACCCCGACAGCCACGGTGTGGACTTTGAACCACCTCAAACAAAAAAAATATTTGAGATCATATCGTGATTTACTTCTACAATAATAATGTTGTCGGGATAGGTGTGGAGTGCCTCGGTGGGCCTTTCACGTTTTTTGAATTGAAGAAGTTTCACCTTTGCATGATTGTACTAGTTAGAATGTAACACAACATATGGTAGTAAATACTATCGTATTCCGTAGCTTATAGGAGTACTACGTATTACGGAGTACTTCATAAGTTTCCTAGTTAGAATATAACACATCATTTTAAAAAACTCGAAGACATTAGAGTGATTGATAAGAAATGAAGAAACCTTTACGGAAGAAACTAGATCCCAAAAGTTGCTCACTCATAACTAAATATATGTACCGATTCCAGAATTTCTACTACTACTCTTCACTGATTCACTCACCAAAACATAACTACGTTCTGTTTTGGTGATTTGGTCCGTCGAAATTGACACCATCATCAAATGTGTTATAGAACTTAATTCCCATCATGTACTTAATCAGCTCTAACTTTCTCTTAATTACTAAGTTCTACTTTACTCTAATTAATCAACCACATAATCATTCACATCCCACACATGGAAATCATCACCTCTGAAATCCACCGAAATATCATCCAAACGCTCATCCATCATCATTATCTCCGGGAGTTTATTTCCATCGTCGCAATCTAACGGCGTTTGGTCATCCGTTAACAAGGACGGCGACCAGAAATCTAACGGCCCGTTCAGACTACATTCCTCCTCCGTCGCAGCCGCCTCTGCAAAGTAACCCGCCGTCACCAGCTTCATAGCACCTTCTTCCTTCGCTTCATTCGTGTCGGTTTTATTGGCCGCGTCAATACACGCCTTCAGAACGGAAGTTGGAGACAGAGCCATCTCGGATTCGCCGGTGGAGTCGTAATTAGAGAGTGGCGTGCCGGCGAGCTTCGGCGGCGGGGTAAGGAAATTGGTCATGGCGTCTGGTCCACGTAACTGGATCGCAGCGGTGTCGTAAACATGAGCCGCTTCCACGGCGGTGTCAAAAGTGCCTAACCATTTCCGGGTTTTCCGAATCGGATCCCGAATCTCCGCCGCCCATCTCCCCCACGGCCGGAGCCTAACTCCCCTGTACTTCCGATCACCGGCATTCTTGATCGTCATCTTCGATGTCGCCGTTTTGCCTCTCTTTTTTATCTTTTCATCGGCAACACGACTCTTTTTAGTCCCAAGCCTGACCTCGATCACATGCTTCTTGGTAGTCTGCCGGCGGCTAAAAGCCTCCTCCTCATCGGAGGAAGAATCCGTGGCGTCATTATCGGTGACAAAAATTCGTACTATGCTAGGCGGCATATTGTGAGTGTTGAATCGAACCTGTAGCTTCTTCAAAGTTACACTCTTCTCTACTTTGTACTACGTATTTAAGAGCAGCTTCGTTTTTGGCATCACTTTTGCTGTTTTGCAGATCAAATGTAACTGAAATTCGTGGAGAGATATACTTGGTAACGGAAATATGGAATTAGTGTGGCCAAAGGCTTGCTATGGAATAAGTAAACAATCAGAGAGATTATTATGCCAATGAAGTAAACCAGATTTACAGATCGAGACTAGGTCACTTGTGTAGTCTAATAAAAGTACTCCGCATTATATACTACTATGAAATAAGTCTTTTATGTCAATTCTTCATTTGTACAAGGATTTAGAGTCCGTTTGATAACACACAAATTAAATGAATTGAGTAATTCTGCTTTAATTTATGAATATCTAGTTGAACTGGCTGATTCAGTTGAGTTATGGAAAAAAATTAAAAATATACTACGTATTCTATTTGTGAAATAAAAAAAAAACATAAAAAAATATCTAAACGATTCTCTATAGAAATAATTACATAAATATGACCAAAATAAAGATGGTTTACAAAAAAATATGATTAGTTATTAGAGTAGTAATGAAATTATAATAATTCATGTTCAAATTTTGAACTTAAGTTACCACAGCACTACGTTGTAGTAATGAATAGTCATATTTATGTAAATAAGTTTTATTTTAGTAATATTCTTGTAAAAAACCTGTTATCTTCTCTATATAACTTCAGTCAGAAAAGTAACTTAATCTTTACTTATTTTGATAATTACATAACTCAACATTCAAAATAAACGAATTACGCGTTTAGTAAAAAAGTTGACTTATAAGTTATAAGAGTGATAATCCGAAATATATGATCACCAAAGGGCTATTATATAAATATTTGTTTCTAAAATAATAGGAGTATCAAAATGAAACTTATATAGAGATTTCCCCAAACACGAAATAAAATAAAGATAATTTTTCTAAATAGGAGTTAGACTTTGTGAATTCAAAATAAGACTTCTATTTTTTATGTAGTATTATCTAAATAAAAGTACTTATTGTCATGTTTGAGTAATTATAATTGCCAAGTTTTTATATTAATTGTCTGGTTTTAAATTTGACAATATTTTTCAAATTTGATAATAATTATTCTCATTTTAGTAATTGGGGAACGAATTAGGGTCTGTTTGCAACAGCTTCTACTTTTAAAAAAGTGTTTTTTTTAATGAAATGGGGAGAAGTGATTAAATAAAAGTTGATAGTGTTTGAGAAAAAAATGATTTTGAAAATAAAAGTGGGTAGTGTTTGGTAAAATACTCCCTCCGTCCCAATTTGTAAGATACATTTCGGTTTACGATGTTTGACTAACGATAAAGCAAATTGATCCCTGTCAACACCCAAATTAGTTCTAGAAAATAAAATTTACATATTCAAAAACTACATTAAATCCGCTACAAAACCTGCAAAAAATAATTCAAACTTCATAAACTTTTGATATATAAAATAAAAGTTTAGAAGTGATTTATGTTGACCAAGTGAATAGTAAATGTATCTTACAATTTGGGACTGAGGGAGTAAGTGTTTTTTGTGTAATAGAAAAAGTAAAAGCACTTTTGACGCAGAAGCCGAGAAAGTTAAAAGTTGTAGTGTTTGGGAAATAAGTACTTTTTTAAAGCCAAGAGCTGAGAAGTGTTTTTTTAAAAAGTGTTGCAAACCAACCCTTAACAAATAACATACTACCTCCGGTTTTTTTTAATCTTCACAGTTTGACTTCACACAAAATAAGGAAAGAAATTTGACTTTACTGTAGAGTACACTGTTGAGGCACTGTTTGACTCTGTTTGGCACTGTTGAGACACTGTTGGGGACTGTTGGGCACTGTTTTGATGTAGATTTCTTTGCCAAAAAAGGAAATAAGGAAGTGTGAAGTTTATTTTAGACCGTCCCAAAAAGGAAAGTGTGAAGTTTATTAAAAATCGGAGGGAGTAATAAAGTTATTTTTTATATTGATTATATGTTTTTATTACTAATAAAATTTTATTGAAATCCTAGGGAAGGCGAAAGATTGATTGAATTGGGATTGATTAGGTATGTTGTGCTTTCTTGGCAACCAAGTTTAGTAGTGGGTATTGTATTGTACCTAGAATGACGTATTTTGTTTTAAAAAACTTCCCATAAATTCGCATATTCATTTCCGCTTTGAGGCCATTTATGATACACTTGCTTTTTTTAATGCAAATCATTATTTTCAAATTAACTCCGCGCTTCCCTTCCAAAATAAATGGGGTCGATTGATACCCTTCAAATTCGTTCTCATGCCCAACATTTTTTTATGTTTTACACATTTTCCCTATCCAAAAAATTGGTCTGATCAAAGTTGTTCTCATTTGATTTCATTTTTGTCTTACACAAGATCTATTTTAAATCAATGCAATTTAAGGAAAACGAACTGGATCAGTCTAAAATTAAATAGAATAAGTGCATACCGACTCCGATCGATAATAGTAAAATACACATAGTTTCATATAAAAACTTCAATAATAATATACACAATAGCAGATTCTATTAAATCAAACCAAAAATTAATGTGCTAATAAAATGAACCACCTACTTACAAACATCTACAAAGATTTAATGTTATTATCAAGTTATCCTTTTACAAAAAAAAAATAAATTCTATGAATTATCAAATTATCATCATACGATAACTTTTTATGTTAATTTTTTATGAGCAGAACTTTTAATGTTAACATTGCATTTTATTCTATCATTTACCGGCATAACATGATGGCTGATAGCTATATCACAACCCGATAATGGTATCATAGAGAGAAGACGAAGTTAATATATAGAGAAAAATATGTCTTGCAATGAACACTTTTTGAACACGTGCAATTGTCTAGCTATTTATAGTGACAATGAATGTTACACACATATTTGGGAGTACACGTGTAAACTAGTCTATGTATTAAGCCCTCTAGCTTATAAAAAAGGGTATATGACGCCACATGTGTCTTGTTTGATGGACAAGAGGCACGTAGATCCAATTTGGTTCATGCATGAATTGAAATGATGATGGATAATTTTTAGTCATTGGATTCGATTAGTTGCATTAAAACAAGTTCATGTAACACTATAATTCAGATTTGACGATCTTGCGTTTAAAGATTAAACAAGTTTCTATGTTGTACTAAGAATTTGACGATGTGTCACTAATAATTTTTCATGTTGCACAAAAGAGATGCAACAAGCGAGTTTCAAAACCATTAACTAAAACATCATCGTACGATGTTGCATCTTTTAGTGCAACATTAAACTCTTTTAATATATTATTATATATACGGTTATGTTTAGTAGTTTTGAAAATAATATTATGAAATAGCAATACTATTCATGATGATATTATTTCTTAGCGATACTATTACAGTGTGACATAGTCTTCTTTGTATTTCATTTTTTGAATTATAATTAAATAGTTGATGGATGGGTTAAAAATGGAGGTTAAATTAGACTTATATAATATAATATGAAAGAATTGTTGTTAAATTTGACTTTTCAATACATAGAAAACAACTACTCCCTCCGTCCCATTTATATTGTCCCGGAAGAGGGTGGCACGGTTATTAAGAAAAGTGGGTTTGTGTGGTTGATATTAATTGATAAAGTAAGAATAAAGTAAAAACGATTTAGAGCCACACAAACTTTGCCAAATATGGTATGGGACAATATAAGTGAGACTTCCCGAAAAGGTAAAACGGGACAAAATAAATGGGACGGAGGGAGTAAGTAAAAAAATCAATTATGAAAAACTTAAAATAGTTATTTTACACGACTAAACAACCAAACTCAGTCCAAATAGTTAAAAATTGGAGGATATATCATTTACCAAAGATACAAAATACAACGTGAACGATTTAATTTCTAGGAAATGGATAAATACATTAGACTATCTCCAATGCAAAAACATGAACGTGATATGAGAGGTAAATACATAAAAGTTAATAAGAAGAATATGTATTTCATTATTTCAAAGGTATTATATGTTTTTGGTATTTTCATAATGTAAAGTGCAATATCTAGATGTAGATATTATGGTTGATATTATTGAGCAAAACTTATTAAAATCGCATAAGAACGTAAAAAGAAATAGAACGAAATATCATGAATTTATTCTTTTGTGTCTATCATCCACCCGCAATATATGCACTATGCGGATTATAACATTGTATATGCTCTTAAAGTGAGGAGTAAGGCAAACGCTCCATTCCTTTATAATACTATCTTCATCCCACTAACTTTGCAACAAGAGAAGGTGACATAATTATTAGGGAAAAGTGAGTTTTTGTGGTTTATATTGAATTGATAAAGTAAGAATATAATAAATTCAGAATAAATTAGAATCACAAATTATATCAAATGACTCTTCTAATACTTCCTCTGTTCGGTAATAAGTGCAACATAGCACTGGGCACAAAGATTAAGAAAAAAGGGAACAAGACTTTACTTTCCTCTTATGCCCTTCAGTACACAAATATAGAACAATACGGAGTGGTTCTGTAGCACACATAAAGTGCTACAGTAAGTTTTACAGTATGGCCAGAAAATGCCGGCCTTCTTTAAATCTTCACCCGAAATAAACACCTCCTTCTTCACCGGAAAGTAAACACCACCTCCTTAACGACACCTCCTTCACCGGAAAATAAACACAGATACGAACAAAATACGCAATTGGTCTTCTTCACCAGAAAATAAACACGGCATGGACAGAAAAGACACCTACTTCGCCGAGATATATTCTCGTTGATCTTGAACCACCAGCCCTACCGCCTGTAAGAACGTTTGGCGGAGTATCCAAGGATCACAAAATCCGAGGTTTAGCTTGAGGGCAGAGCAAAATCAATACCGTTTCCATCGATTGACGATTCGTGTCTTTTGTTTCGTAGAAATTAAAGAAGAAATTTGTAAAAAAACAGATGAAGATGGTGGGGGAAAAATGGGTAACGATTGATGAAATCGGCACAATGGATAGACGAGGAAGCTGCTGAAATGAAGTGTGGGTGGTGGTCTGGTGGCCTAGTGGGGGATGTGGAGGAATTAAAATGATGTTTGGGCGGTGATGAATTGATTGGTGTGGCATGTTGGGTTAAATAATTGGGGGTATATAAGTCATTTTGACTACTACATATTTCCTAAAATAGAAAGGTTGCAATTAA